ATTTCCCCTTGCTGAGAAGTTTCAGATTCTCAGATGTAGTGTGGTATAATAATTTATTATTTAGTTAATTTTTTTACTCTGCTGCATATAGTTTAGGGATTCTAGACTTTATCTTTTTCCCCCCAATTTATAGAACAAAAATACTTTTATCTTCCTCATAGATGTTACAGGAAATAATTAAGTCTGTGTATGTATACAGAGTGATAGTAAAAGAGGAACAGTGTGATCTTAAGGTATTGTCAGTATAATGGTGAAATTTCTTAGACTGATTATAAATTAATATGTTTGGGGATTGATGATAGAACACGGTCATTTTAAATCACAAGTTTTATAGCTTCTAGGGGCTTAGAGAATAGTTAGCCCATCATGAAACCAACGTTCAGAAAGATGTGGTGAGTTGGCAAATAAATAGGAATTAAAGGCTGATGTCTCATCTTATATTTCAGTTTAATTTCCATTATTTCATGTTTCCATTTAAAGTGCTTAAGTTTATGGCTGTTTTAAAAATAATTTATTTTAATTATATAAGTAATTCAGTCCCCTGGGGCGTCCTTACAATATTACAGATAAGATTAAAGTTCACTTGATTACCAAGTCAATTTCATAACATCTTTTACAGAACAGTGAGCGAATTTCATATGGTGAATGTATCTGTTTAGATTAGATTTAGTTAAAAATAATAGAAAAACCCCAAATGACAATGGCTGAAACAAAATATAAACTCTTTTCAGTCTTGTATTCCAGGAATGCATGTGGTGTCAATCAAGCCTGGACTGGTGCTCCTTTGTCCTGTTTCTCCATGATAGTGGCCTCCAATTTAAGTCAAGGTNAAATGCAAGTGGTGTCAATCAAGCCTGGACTGGTGCTCCGAGGTGTCAGGGACCCCTCTCCTTTGTCCTGTTTCTCCATGATAGTGGCCTCCAATTTAAGTCAAGGTGGCAGCTGGAGCATTCCTACTATAGGGAGAAGGGTACTCTTCCTCTTTAAGAACACTTTCTAGAAGTTATACATAATTTTCACTAGGATACCACTGTGGAAAAGTTAGTCATATGGACATAAATAGCTGCAAGAGAGGCTAGGAAATGTAGTCTTTATTCTAGAAATCCTCATGCCCAGATAAAAACTGGGACTTTCATTTTCATGGAAGAAAGGAAAACAGCGTCTGCTGTAGTCCAGAGGCAGCAAGAATTCTACTGCTATTATTACTCCCTTTTCCTGTTTGGCCGGATAGCTCCTAGAAACCTCAGCCATTAGTAAGAGAGCCAGGCCTGGCAGAATATTAGCAGTTCCCTCCCTATTAGTGCATGGCACCTAGAAATCTACACTTTTGGCTTTTCATGGCTGATATCCCTGAGGATAATTTTGACCTTCCTCTCATACACTGTTCCCAGGAACAATAACAACAATGTAATGAAACAGTAAGCTACACATTATATAATAAAGAACCAAATGATGCTATATATGTTTTTATGGGTACACAAATATATACATAAATTATAGAAAATAAATTTGATGGATGCATGCAAAGCTTATAATGATGGTTACCTTTGATGTTTTGGGATTGTGGTTGGTGGTCAAAATGGACTTTAACTTATTCGTAATGTTCTAAAGATTTACAATAAAATAAGGTATGTCTGGAGAGGTGGGGGAGTTAGGAATTGATTTACCATATGGAAAACTTTAGGAAATCTGGAAGTATCTTAACTGGTAACCCCTGTATCAGTTATAGTTTTTGTTTGTGAGCAGTAGAAGCTAATTCTAATGAAATCAATCAAAAAAAGGAATTTATTGGAGGAGCACTGATTATCATACATTTGAAGAAAAAGTTGAATGATGAGGCTATATAGTAGGAATTAAGGACAGTCACTTTTCATCATGGGTCTCTCTGTTCATGCTGTATATTTTCATGAGGTGAAGTGATGTTGGTCAAGCTTGAGTCATATTTGTTGGCTGAGGTTTCGGGGTAAGAGTTGTGAGGAAGCAGTTACCTTGACTGACTGTTCTACTAAATTATAGATGTGGGATGGACCATTGCCCAAATAAAAATAAGGGTTCAGTTACCAATAAAAAGGGAGAGCTTTTGGGGTGGCAAAAGCAACAGGTGTCTACCACTGTCACAGAAGACCACATACCAAAGTATATTTCATTCCCTCAACCATAATTTTTAGAATGTTTTGTAGGTCTGTGGGGGAACATTGTGTTTTGGGACCAAGATGAGTTCTCTTTATTTTCACACAGGTCTTTATTTGGTTATATTGCAGTGAACCACATTGTTTAACAAGTTTCTGTACTTTGAAATTTTACTCAAAAATTGTTTTATTTATTGCTCCTGTTTGCTTAGCTAACTACTCTCGAGCAAGCGGTATACAGGCTGTTCATAAATATTTGCTACTCCTCCCTGAGTAGGATTATACTTTTCCATCCCATTGATTTCAGGCTTGGCTATGGACTTACTTTGGGCAATAAAATGTGAATGGAAGCAACTGACACGCTTCTCTTACAAGCAGATGCTCAAAGAGCCAGTGTGTGGCCATTTTCTCTTTTCCCTCCACACAATAATCAAAGATGTTTCAGATAAAGGCTGTGTCATCAGGCTCTCTGTTCATTCCTCCAAGGTGAAGACCCGCAGTCAACCTGCTTTTGATGCATAGCATTATTGAGAAATATGTCTTTGGAACTGTAAACCATTGAGGTTTGGGCCATTTGTTACTATAGCATAACCTAACCAGTCCTGACTGATGCACTTGTAAAACTAATTCTCTGTTCAAACTTCACAGAGAATTTCTCACTGATTCTGGTTTTAAATGTGGACCATAAGCAGGAAATTAGGTAGAAACTGACCAAACGATGAGATTATCCGGTGAGCAATGGAGAAACAATACATGGATTTTGGGAGGAGACGGGCAAGTAACTGACAAAATAAATTTGATAAAAAAAAAAAAAAAAGAAGCCCGGCTGGGCGTGGCTCAGCGGTTGAGTGTCGACCTAGGATCCAGGCGATCGGGGTTCGATCAATGACTCTCTCATCATTGATGTTTCTATCTCTGCCTCTCCCTCTCCTTTCCTCTCTCTGAAATCAATAAAGATATATTAAAAAAATTGATATTTAGAGATTTAATATCTGAGCAGTGCATAGGTATATTGTAATATGGAAGACTCAGTTTTGGACAGAACAATGAATTGAAAAATTTCTCAAATATCTGATTCTTCCCATTGGTACTAATTAGTGGCTATTTTTTATGTGTATTTAGATGCTTGGATTATTAGTTGTTATTAATACCAAACCAAGGCACCTAAAGCTAGAAAAACAGAAGCTGACAGGTTATGATCAACTTCAAAGTGTTGCATTTCTAAATCAACAAAATAATTAGTAAGTTACATGTTATACATGTCTATACTGATTTAATGAAACCTGGTAGTCATTTCTCTTTAACTCTTCACAAAAAGAAATAACCAGGTCCGTTTTAGCTCTTACATATTTCTCACATCTGTCCCTTCCTACCCTTCCGCCACTGCTTCAGCCAGGTCTGCACCATCTCCTAGTGACGCTTTGTAAGAGCCCTAACCAATCCCTCCAGTGCTGCTCTCCTCCAAGCTGTACTTCTCAGAGCTACTGAATATTCCTTCTAACGCACAAACCTGCCATTTTTATTTCCTTGCATGAGGCCCTCGTGGTGAATATCTTCTGGAAGACAGGATCATGCTCCTTGAAGCAGCATCCAGGCCCCTGTGGAAGGCAGCATGTCCTAGAGGTTATGAGAATGAGTTGGGGAACCAGACCGCCTAGGCTTGGATACGGGTTCTGCTCCTACCAGCTGTGTGGCCTCAGCTAAATGCTCACAGCAGTATGTCTTTTAAAATGTTAGCGTTTATTAATATTATATGGCTTCCCGCTCACTTCCTGCGCTTACTTTCTGGCTGCTTTGCAGTTACGCAGGGTCCCCGTGCACTTTACCTCTATTCTTTCATCCCTTCGTAGTTACTAGCACCTCTCTTCCTCCGCCACCCCACCCCCTTGGTGCCCCAAGCTGGCTAATCCTGCCTCATCTTTTGACATTTACTTCAAGAGTTGCTTTAAAGCTTAAGATTAAGTGACTTCTGCTTGAATAGGTAGTGTATTTCTCTTAATAACTCCTCTGATATCCATCTATGTCTGTCATTATTATTACACGGCATGACATTATAATGTTTATGTGTCTTCACCTCTGTGAGACCACAGGCAACTTGCGAGCAGGAATTCTAAATTGCATGGCATTCATCTTTGCGCCTGGCAGAATTCCCGGTACATAGTAGGCGAATGATAGCAATGCTGAATGTATGGGAACTTGCCATATAAGGAAAGAATTGTTATTTTGCAAATCACTCTTGGACTCACTCTTCATTATGTGGTCCAGCACTGCTTCATTGAGATTTTTGTGATAAATTTCCTTTAAAATTTACTTCCAGAGAAAGTCATTTCTCTCTTAAATTCTTAATGTTTCCTTTTAAGTGGCAGAGATAACTTAACCTAGTTTCCTTTCTTGCCTTGATTATCTAGTCATAGAGCTAAACTGAGTTGGCTTGGGTGTCAAATATTTTAATTTTCTTACAGTAAATAAATTAATTGTGCTTGAATTATAGTAAATTTAAAATTATTGTGGGAGAAAAATAAAATTATTGTGGGTATGATAAGTATAAATATAGTGAATTTTCATATTGTGATTAAAAAATAAAAGGGGCATGTAAATGAAATTAACTGTATCTGGCACAAGTATTGATATGGGCACATGTACTATTTATAGACTCGTTGTAAATTAAGGCTATAGCTATATGAAATGGAATTGAGGAATCTAGTAGAATATGACAATTGCATATGATTTATAATGATTGTATAAACGTATATATATTTAATGTTGTAAAAAAATTGTCATTTGGAATAAGGAAGCATAGTTGTTGTCCCCAGAGTGTTCTAAATATATTTGTTGTCTAACATATTATAACTGAAGACCTGCTTCTTGTAGGACATTAACAAGTGCTGGTAAAGACTTGAAAGATGGTTTTCTGAAGGCTCTGGCAGTGAGAGAAGAAGACAATCGCAACGGGAAAGTGAGCGTGAGTACATTGCATCCAACAACTAAAAATGTGTATACTAAAGGCGCAGTTAATATATAATATATAGTTAATAATAGAAATTTTAATACCTTCCCCCGAAAGTAATTCATGAGGGATATAATATGGCTTTTTATTATTTACATATTATAGAGAATATGTAGAAATTTTTTTATTCCAATTTATATCTGTACAAGTAGCCAAATGGTGAAAAAATTAGGATTCTATACATGTATTGCAGATAAAATGCCTATACTTGGCAGACTGCTTGTCACCCCCAACCCTGTGCTAGTCCTTCAGTGAACCTCCCTGCTGCTGGCCCTCCTGGTAGGCTTCCCCAAGTCACATCATCCGCTTGTTCCCAAGTTGTGCCCCCGCCTGCCTGGCTTCATGCTACCTCTAGAAGATAGTCCTGGAGTCTGCCCTGTAGTCCTACCTTGGGAGATGTGATGGAAACCACATAATAAGCGACATGATTTTGAATCATGCAAGGAGAACATGTTCTTGCTTTATTAAACCATGTGCCAGTTTCAAATATGTCAAGTTATTAATGGAATTTGGAACTCATATTTAATTTTACTCTTTGTTAATGTAATATTAGTGATAACAGTCTTCTGTGAGTCATAATATAGTCCAAGTCAAGAATACAGTTTTATGTTTAAACTGTAATAAGTGACTTACACAAAAATAATCATAGTAGTATGATAAAAAATTTAGAGCAACAGGAAAAAAATGTGAATAAGGAGGTCTGTTTTACAAAAGTTTTCTCAATAAAAAAGTTGGAATTGTTCTCAGGTCCCTTGAAAATTTCACATATAGACAAGATTGTCAATATACTTTACACAGGAAAAAAAATCTTACCGTGGCTATATAATTGTATAGAGTTAACCTGGACTTGAAATCAGGTAAAGTTTCTTGAAAGAAGAGGGCTGAGTGAGATTTAAAGATGTGAAATTGGAAATATGGGCAGAGACTGGACTTTGGAGGGCCTTCTAAATCACAGTAGAAAAGTTTGGAATTTATCTAACTTTTAATACAAAGAGCAGCTAGAAAGATGAGAAGGAAGGCAGAAAAATGTGGTATAAAGGGATTCATGATGATGAGTTTCAGGAGGGAGCAAATGATCATTAGTGATCAAGCAAGATAAGGGCTGAAAAAAATCTATGGTGTTTGGCAACATGTATAGTTTTTAAAAATCCAGCTATGGGGGTGTAAAGTACAGCATAGGGAATGTATTAAAAATATTATAACAACTATGCATGGTGTCAAGTAGGTATTAGAAATATTGGGGTGATCCCTCATAAGTTATATCAATGTCTAATCACTATGTTGTACACCTGAAACTAATTCAATGTTGTATATCAACTGTAATTGAGAAGTTAAAATAATTTAAAAAAACTATTAACAAGAACACATTCCATCCATTATGAGGATGAAAATCATATTCCATAGGGTTGGAAAAAAAAGTTCACATTAGACACTAGTACCAACAAATACCAACAGCTGTAGAGAGTGTAAGCCTATGTTTTTTACCACAATGGTATACTTCCTGTCAAGTTCTCCTAAAGATAAGTCCAATCACTTCACCTTTCACCATTTCAACTATCATTGATTTAAACCCCTATTATATCTTAAATAAATTACCATAACAGCCTCCTAAATGATATACTTATGTATTTTCTTGTCAAACTTTCATCCACTTTTCAATCACTCAACACATATTTCTTGTGCACCTGCTCAAACCTGGAACTGGGGCCTCTGCAGATTTTATGACCTTAAAGAGTTTATATTTTCGAAAGGAAGACAGAAAATAAGTAAGCAAAATAAAAGTGGAACAATTAGTTTCAGCTCTGAAAAGGTGTTTTGGAAAACATACAGTTAGAAAATTGAATAGAGGGCTATTGAATACAGTGCGCTTGGGTGTTTTCACTATTGTATACAGAAAAATCACTGAGCAGGTGACATCTGTTAGGACTTGAATGAAATGGAGAAGATAGCTGTGGAGTCTGAAGTGAGAGACACTGCAAACTGATAAACATTTTAGAGGAACAGCATATTAAAGTCTCTCGAGATCAAAGAAATCATGGCATATTCAAGAGATGGTAAGAAGACCAGAATGACTGGCATATATAGCTATTGGAGGGGAAAATAAAGACAGATGCAGTCAGAAAGGAGTCCACAGCCAGCTCATACAGGTTTTAAGAAATTTTGATTTTATTATTTGATTTTAATTTTTATATTTATTCTTTTATTATTGTAGTAGAAAGTCAATAGATGGTCTTAAGCAAAGAAGTGACCTGATCTAGTTGACACTACAGAAAGACTGATCTCACTGCTGCCTGGGTGGGGAGGAGATGTGGGAAAGCAAATTTGAGGAGAGGCAGGAGAAGTTAGGAAGCTCTGGTTATCAGCCAGCAGGAGATGACATTGTAAACAGAATGGTAGTGGTGATATAGAGGGAAACAGTGTCTGTGTTTTGGAGGAAGAGCAGACAGGACTCACTGATGGGTTGGATATGAAATATTGAAAAGGAAATTAGGATGACTTTTGGTTTTTGGCTTGAAGAAGTAGGTGCTGAAGGTGGCACTTTGACAGGAGAACTCTTGAGGAGTGCATATTTCAGGACTCAATAATGAAATAGCTCTGTTTGGGCTATATTAATTTTGTGGTACTTATTTGATATCTAAGTGGAGAAGTTGATTGGTCATTTATGTATATATTGGTCTGGAACCTAGGGGAGAAGTCTTGGCTGGAATATAAATCTAAAAAGAAAGATATCATCGTCTAAATGGTATGTAAAGTCATGGACTTGCAAAAGTTTACTAGGCAGAGAGTGTTGGTAAAAAGATTGAAGTTCCATGAAAAATGTTTAGGACACTCCAACACTTAGAGATCTAGAATGTATGAAAGAGCCAGCTAATGGTACTGGGAAGTAGTAAGTATGAGAAAAATCAGGTGAGAGCGATGCTACAGATATGGGAGAAGAAAGAGATTTCAGAAGAGTAGATGCTCACCATCTCAATGCTTCTGAGAGGGTAAATATGAAGATATATTAGTTTCCTCTGGCTGCCATAAACAATTACCACAAACTGGGTGGCTTAAAACAAAGGAAATTTATTGTCTCACAGTTCTGGAGGCTGGAAGTGGGAAATCAGTGTGTCAGCAGAACCATGCTCTCTCTGGAGGATCTGGGAGAAAATCTGTGCCTTGCCTTTCCTTTAGCTTTGCCAGTGATCAATGGTGTTTTTGGTTTGTGGGGACATCACTCTAATCTCTGCCTCCATCATCACATGACATTCTCCCTGTGTGTCTGGGTCTCTGTCTTCTCTTCTTACAAAGACAGTCATATTGGATTACCCTCCGCTCCAGTTAAATATGACTCAATCTTAATTTTATTACATCTACAAAGAGCTGTTTCTAAATAAGGTCATATTCACAGATACCAGGGGTTAAGATCTCAACATATCTTTTGGGGGTATATAATTCAACTCGCAAAAATTGATTAAATTTATTAAAAAGTGATTTTCTAGCCATTGTTTATGGCTAGATAAATGTCATTGGTTACAGTGGTGAGGGCTGTTTCAGTGGAGGGCTGTGGTTAAATGTTTCACTGGTGTAGGTCGGGAAAACAAAAAAGTATATAAGTGAAGGTGAGAAGCAATTAGTTTTGAGGAAATTTGCTATAAAGTGTAGCATAAACTTTGTGCAACAGCTGGTGTAGAGCCGAGGCTCTGGGAAGTTTGTTTTGTTGTGTTTTAAGAAGGATTAATATTATCCTGTGTCTTCCATTAATGGGAGTGATCAAGTAGACAGAGAGGTATTGATGGTTTAGGGGAGAAAGGGAATACTTGCTGGAGAGAATTCCTTAAAAGCAGGATGAGGCCCAGAGCCCCAGGACAGGGTCTGCCTTTGAGAGGGGCAGAAGCCACCTAGTGCAGATGTAACAGGAGAAACAAAGAGGCTACTGGAAATTCTGCCACGAAGGCTGGTGAATCAGGATTTGCCAAGATGAGACAGCTCTGTAGCAAGTTTATACCTATTTTTTCTAGATTGTCACACAAATGTTTAATTACATCATTACGATATTTTCTCCTAGAGAAGGTCCTAAATTTAACTTACATTCAGAATGCTAAATAGTTAACATTTAATGTTGGGTGGGTGGTCACTGATTTGGAAACTGGAACCTTGTCAATCTCATAGCTTGCTAACTTTAAACATAACATATGGTCATTTATTTGGGCTGTTGAATTTGCTGTATTATTATAATCAGCAGAATACATATCTTTGTATCAAGGGCAGCATTTAAGGCTTAATTTTCTATTTCCTACTCTTGTATTAAAACAGACTCCAAGTGGTTTTATAGCAAACTCCAAGTGGTTTTATAGCAAACTATTTACAACATATTTTAGAAAGATCTAATTATTAGGGGCATAATCTTACTTAAAAGCCATTCACTAAATGGATATGCTTTTTTAAAGTAGTCCTATAAAATATGTAGTATTCATGAGATTTGAATTTATATTAATTTGCTGTCAGCAAAAATTATATGTGAAATTTATGGGGTTTGAACTCTCCAAGGGAAGTGACTATTTCCTATGCATTAGGGTTTCTGTACCTAATGTGTGAGTGCAAATAAATGGAGAACTTCAACCCAGAGGCACATTTGCTGCCCCTTTCTTTCATCTTATTAAGAATACATACTAGAAAAATTAGGATATGGTTTCAGAACTGACATAGTTGACCTGCGTGGCCTAATAAGGCATGAAGGACTAATTCCATAGCAATATTCCTAGGTAATTTTCTTTAAATGAAACTAGGAAATTAGAAGATTAGATTTACTTTCCCACACACAGCGTTTTTTAATTTATATTTTGTTTGGTGACTCGAGGTTGCAAATGCTATTTTGTGTAATTGAATCTTATTCTAGATGCCCTCTTTCTCTCTAATTGCAAAATTAATTTATTAGTTTTCTCCATTTAGGCCTTAAATTTATTCTGCTGTAG